CTTTAGAAAAAAAAATTAGTTTAGAAATGTAATCCTCCATTTCTGAAAGTGGAAAAGGGAGGGGGAGGGAAATGAATGACTGCAGTTGACTTTTTAACTCTCATACAGAATCATCAAAGAGATTAGTTTCTGGCATTGTCTGCATGGATGGAGAATTGGAGATCTACATGGATCTTCAAAAAGTCAGAACTTTCCTTGGTCACCTGGTGGAATCACAAGGCGACTGCAGGTAACACAAAGATTCCACAATTGTGCAAGCATTACCCAAGATGCTGAGGAACAGAAACATTTCACATTTTATATAAAAGGATATTCATGAAAAACTTTATGAAATAGTTCCTTCTGCAACTTAGCAAGCTACATATTGCTGTTTTTCTTTAATATATAGCACTTCAAAGAACAAGTCTCTGAGTCTCTCTGAGAGTGGATGGCATACAAATTAATTAAATAATAATTAAATAGTAATGCCGCCAAGACCTTCGTGAAGGTGCGGGGGGTCCACAGAGGCCAGGAAATCCCCCCGACGGATGCCCTGGAGGATGGGCTTCAGGGACGACATTTTGAAACGCCTGTAAACCAGGAACTGGTTCAGATGTTTGAGTTCCAGAATGGCCCTCCAACCCCTCCCTCCCCCCGAGCTCTTTGGCACTTCAAACAGGTTTGAATAGTGACCCTGCCCATGTTCCGAGATTGGAACCTCCTCCACGACCCTGATCTTGAGAAGATGATTTACCGTGAGATCCATCAGGCGGCAGCGTTCCGGGTTCCTGGATGGAGTCCTGAAGAGTCTTGGGGCGGGGGTGAAGAGGAACTCCAGCTTCAGGCCGTGCCGAACTGTGGCCCTGACCCAGGCGTCTGTGGTGACCCCTTCCCACTAGTCCGCATAGAGTGTTAGACGGCTGCCAATGGGAGGACTTGGGTTTGAGTCACTTCTGCAGAAGGGGCGCCCCCTCCCCATGAAAGGGCCATTTAGACTGTGGCTGGAATATACTGGGGTCCTAGTAGGATGACTGCGGGAATTGCCTCTCCTGTCTGAAGGACTGGTAATGAGGCTGGTTGTCGTGGTCTGGTGCCCTGAACGAAGGCCTACTTTAAGGGTGGGAACGGGAATCTGGTTTCTTGGACATGGAAGGCAACACCTTCTTTTTATCTTTGTTTTCCACCAAGATGGAATCCAGAGCTTCCCCCAAAAGATTAGGATCTGTATAAGGGGCTGTGGCCAAGTTGAATTTTGCTTTATTATCCATCTGCCAACTTCATAGCCACAGGAAACGCAGGAAGTGACAGAGGTAGCAAGAGCGCTGGAGGCAAACCTGACTGCTTCTAGGGTTGTGTCTGCTGAATATTGCGAGGCTGCCATGATTTTTGTGATCTCCTGATGAAGGTGTTCGTCGTGGATCGGGACACGATCCTGGAGTTGGTGCAGCCACATCACAATTGTTCGGTTAAAATAGGCTGTGGCCGCTGCCTTGATCGCCCAGGCGGAAGCATTAAAATTTTTATGGAGGGTGAGTTCTGCCAGTTTGTCCTCCAGTTCATCTTGTCCGCTGCGTCCCCCGACATGACGGGAGGAGGAGGCAACAGCCGCTATTGGGGTATTGATAGCGGGAAGCTGGAGGGCCTGGGAGAATGCTTGCTCCACATACAAGTTTAATAGGTTCCACCACAAATGCGCGCACAACAAAAGCGCACCTGACTAAACCGCGCGACGAATGAGTGACTAATTAGCCCTAAAGCGCGCCGACAAGCGCGCTGTAACGGAACCAGATTAAAGTTAGCCTCTTCCAAAATTTCCAATTTGTCCTCCATTTCAGCAATATAATCTGTCATAACTGACATAACTCCAGTCATATCCACCTTTATTTGGGCAATTTTGGCCTCAAGTTTGTCATATACCGTATTTATCGGCGTATAACACGCACCGGCGTATAACACGCAC